GAGAGAGAGAGAGAGAGAGAGAGAGAGAGAGAGAGAGAGAGAAACAATGTAGCAATGTAGGCCATATAATACAAATTATTAAAAACATGGGAATGTTACTAATAATCTGTTCGTTATTTAAGCCTTTTGGCTTAAATGTCAGGCTGTCTTATTCTTTTCTGTATATTCCTCCATTCTGTGCAGTGTTGGAGGAGGACCAAAACCAAGTCCAAACATTAAACTAAATAGAATGGAGCATCTGGGTCCACAGTGGTTGAACTGATGAATTATAGAGCTAGGCCACAGGGATGACAGACGTGGTGATAGGAACCTGAAAATGGAAAAACATACAAAGAAGAGTTTTGTGAGCTCTATATAAATTTGAAGAACAGTTTTAATGACAAATAAAATTTGTGGTTAACTAACATGTTCCTATATGAGTTGCCAAGGGTGATAATATGATACAGAACATGACTAAAGTTTAATGGCTAGTGATTATTGAAGATGAGTTGTAACAATACAAACCAAGCACCTGGTGCTGTATAGGTTGTTTACATGATTCTCAAATTCAGTGAGAGTATGGATAAAAGTATTGGTGGAGAAAAAATACTAGATACCCTATTCTTTGTGGTGCAAGCAAGGTGAATTGAGAGTTTAAAAAGAATAAGAAAAGTAAATAATGGCCTACTGGAATGGCTGCTATTTTAGTAGTTTCAGAGTAGTTTTCACAATCAAAGCAAACCGTGATCAAATATCCCAGTCTCGAAAATTCTGAGCTTGAAAATTCTCTCTTCTCCTGGACTTCAAATTTTTGAAATACAAGCTTTCATAAAATTAAAGGGGAAATGGGAGTTTTCCGTAAAAAGTGTTAACAGAGAAAAGAAGTTTTTTTCCAGTACCAGGGATTGAACTCAGGACCTTGCACTTGCCAGGCAGGCACTTATACCACGGAGCTATATCCATAGCCTGAGATTGTTGTTTATAAGACAGGAAGATTTCATAAGCGACAGGAAAATAATTATAGAGATAAGCAGTGAAAGAATTTGAAATCAAGATTAAAATTTTAATAATTAAGGAGAAATGGATTCTGGATCTAGGAGTGAGAGGTGATGGGTGCTGAGTCTGGCATCTTTCAGGTGGTAAACCTTGCAAGTGACATTAGCTTAATATGTTTCAGATCCTTCATCATAGACTTACTTTCCTCTGTTATTTCCCCGACTACTTTAGCAGTGCTTAATCTTGTGACTTGAGTGATCTTGTTATTTTAATGATTTTCAGAACTTGAAGATACACTCAATAGATCAATAAAAACTAAATCTTTATATGTAAAACATAAAATGCAATTTTACAGATTCTTAAAGCATATTTTCACCCTCAAAGTGATCTGGATCATTAAGTTATTTAGTCCTATAGTTTCCACTTATGCTTCAACAGTATGTAGTATAGTGTCTGCACAATGTGCTACTTCATTAATATTTTATTGAAGGACGAAGCAACACATCACCATTGTGAGTTTGGCGCCATGCTGATACCAGATTTCTCATTTTCAAAAATATAGTAGTATTATTAAGATGTCTTATATTGTACTTTCATATGAGACATGTATATTTTTATTACACAGATAAATCCATTTAAAAGTTGATCTTAGGAGCTCATGCCCTACAATTCTAAAATGTCAGAATTTCACTTCTATGCCTTTGACTCAGTGCATTATCTTTCCTAATATTATCCTTCTTCTCTTTAAGGTTCATTGATTTCCTTTTCATTATTAAGTGTATTTTAGTTTTCCTTCAGGCAATTTCATCACTGAGCCACATTTCCAGCTCTTTTTACTTTATTTTAAGACAGGATCTCAATAAGTTGATAAACTGGCCTCAGTCTCCCAAAACTTCTGCCTTACGCTCCCAAGCATCTAGGATGGCCCATAGCACTCAGCATAATCTTGTTTATCTTATGAGTACAATCAAATATGAACCCCTCTGAGTGTCAACCCAAGTAATTTCCTGTAATCCTACCATTGTTTATCATTTTACTGAATAAAGATATCCCTTACAGATTCTAATACTTTTAAAGACAGATAATTCATTGACTTTTTGCGGTCTAACACAACTAGAGGAATATAAGACAAGTAATGATGTGTTGCACAGAATATATATTAAAGACCATGAGAAAAAATAATACATATAAATGATTTCTTGGGGCCAGGGAGATGGCTCAGTGGAATAAGCGCTTCCCTGGCAAGCTCAAGGTCCTGAGTTCAATCCCCTACTCCGCCAAAAAAAAAAAAAAAAAAAAGAAGAAAAGAAACATATAAATGATTTCTTGCACATCTCTCCTGAGTAATATGACTAAATACTTTATCATTTTAAATATAAAGGAAGAACAATTGATATTTATTTTAAATCAGTATGTAAATCAAGATTCCCTTATCAAATCAAGATACATAATCAGGACTCCAAATCAAGATACATGCTCAGTTTTGTTTTAAGTGTGCATTGTGGAAATGTTCATACTGGCACATAGATTAAAAAAAAAAAAACAGTACCGTGAACCCATGTACTCTTTATCTAGATTCATTAATTATTGATGACGTGTGGCTAGTTGTCATCTAACTGCACACCCACACCGTCTTCTTTGCTTCTATTGATACTAAAGAGTACATCTAGTATACTGTATGGAGTCATGTCTTTAGCCAGATATTAATTCATATTAACCCGAGCCCTGCCCTTTCTCCTGCATTCTCGCCTAGCGATGACAAAATACTTATATTTGTTCTTGTACTTGTGTATTTATATATGTGTGTATTTTTTTTTCAGTTCTGCTGCTATGTGCACTGATTTTTCCAAAAGACAGACCATGAAAAGTCAGTGATGCGTGCAACCAAGTCAGAGGGGAAGACAGGCCAGTGGAGCTCCCCCAACCCCCACTTTGCTCTCCCTCATAACTCATGATGGCTGTGTGTGAGGCCCTGATGCATGTGAGGATCACTCCCCTGTGGCACTGGTTGAGCATGTTTCTTTTCATTTCTGGATGGAAGACTGGATACTCCCAATACTCCAGCACCCCGGAAGTGGTGATTCCTGTGAGGATCACTGGCACTGATAGAGGCATAAGTCCTCCAGGCTGGCTGTCCTATAGCATGCACTTTGGTGGCCAGAGACACATTGTTCACATGAAGACCAAGAAGCTTTTGATGTCCAGACACCTCACTGTGTTCTCCTACACTGGCCAGGGTGTTCTTCTTGAGGACCATCCTTTTATACCAGATGACTGCTACTATCATGGATATGTGGAGAGTGACCCGGAATCCCTAGTTGCTCTTAGCAGCTGTTCTGGAGGTTTTCATGGAACACTTCATGTAAATGACATGGCTTATGAAATCAAGCCCAAAGAGGATTCTATCACATTTGAACATCTGGTTTATAAAATGGCCAGTGAAGAGACCCAATCCCCACTCATGAAATGTGCATTATCAGACAAAGAAATAGAACAAAAGTTGAAGCTTCAAGAGAGTGATAATTACATTCTGATGCAAAGTGGATATCTGGGCTGGTGGACCCACATGTGGTTTGCTGATATGGCACTTGTGGTAGACCATCAACGATATGTTTTCCATAACAACAATAACACAAATGTGATAAAGGATGTTATAAACATTGTTAACCATTCAAATTTTCTTTTAAATGGAGTGGGTTTTCACCTGGTTCTAATTGCGCTTGAAATCTGGGATACTGAAAACCTTGTGAATATAACTAATGACATGCCTACGGTCCTAGAACAATTTCGCAGGTGGAAAGTAAATAACTTTAACAGGCGGATAAAAAATGACCTTGGACATCTCCTTTCACACCAAATGTATAGAAGTGGGTATCTTGGCTTAGCTTATGTGGGAACTCTGTGTAATAATCATTATAATTGTGGAGTTATTAGAGTCATCTATAGGAATGTAGGGGCAATTGCACATACTATATCCCATGAGATAGGACATAATCTGGGTATGAAACATGATGAACAAGTCCGACCATGTAAATGTGAGCAGAGAATATGCATCATGGGTGAAACAGACAATCACTCCACCAAATTCAGCAATTGCAGTTATGCTGTTGTCTGGTCAACCACAAAAACATCATCATGTATAAGGAATATGCCAAGACCAGTGAACTTCCTTCCACCACCACCAGTGTACTGTGGGAATGGTGTGGTGGAAGAAGGAGAAGAGTGTGACTGTGGATCCTTAGAATTTTGTGAAGAAGATACATGTTGTCTGACAAACTGCACTCTACAATCTGGGGCTCAATGTGCTTTTGGGCTTTGTTGCAAAAAATGTAAGTTGATGCCATCTGGCAGTGTGTGTCGAGAAAAGAATGATGAATGTGATCTTCCTGAGTGGTGCAATGGAACTTCACACGAATGTCCAAAAGATGTGTATGTGCAGGATGGAATGAATTGCACAGGCAGTGGCCACTGCTATGAAAAAAAATGTATTATCCGTGATGAACAGTGCAGGCAAATTTTTGGAAATGAATCCAAGAGTGCAAATAAGACTTGCTATTCAGCAATGAACACCCGCGGTGACCGTTTTGGTAATTGTGGAAATAACAGCCAGGCGTATGTAAGATGCCATGTCAATGACATCCTCTGTGGAAGAGTTCAATGTGAGAATGTGAAAGAACTTCCCTCTTTGCCCAATCATTCCACCATACATTATGCTGAAATCAGTGATAGAAGCTGTTGGGGTACTGACTATCACTTTGGGATGACTGAGCCTGATATTGGTAATGTGGAAGATGGCACAGAATGTGGTGAGAGAAATATATGCATCCGAAAGAAGTGTGTTATAATGCCACTTTGGGCAAGTGATTGTTCGCCTGAGGCCTGCAATATGTCAGGTATCTGCAATAATAAACATCATTGTCATTGTGATTATGGATGGAGCCCACCTAATTGCACAAAAAAAGGCAATGGAGGGAGTATTGATAGTGGTCCTCCTCCTGTTCGACCCTCCAAGAATCAAGGCATGAATTACTGGCTTCTACTACCTTTAATATTTTTTATTCTTTTGTTTTTCCTCTTGTTATTCTTGTTAATGAGGAAGACAAAAAAAGATAGAGAAGAGGAAACTAATATACCAGAGGAAAATAAAATACCAGAGAACGCTGATACAGCAGCGAAACCTAAAATACCAGAGAAAAAAGGTAAAGTTAAAAAATAGTGTGAAGTTTAGAAAAAAGAAAAAAACACAATGATTAAACTTCAGTTCAGGCAGGAAGTCTCAACAGTTAAACTTCACTTGAAATAGAAGAGCAAAGTTTTACAATTTTGAACAACAATCCCAAATCTTAAAGGAATTTCCTGTGAATTCTCCTGCCTGTAGACATGTTATCATATGTATGTCAAATACTTAGAGAAAGTTCTGGAGTTCTATTACATTCCAGGATCACAAGCACTCACCATTTAATAAAGGCAATTCTTAACATGATTTTACTGTGTGTTATTTTAAGGATTTTATTGATTTGTTTTCATGGAATTAGTCTCTATATTTTCTCAGCAAATGCTAGCTTACGGAGTGCACACACACACACACACACACACACACACACTGATCATGTAAATGTGAGCAGAGAATATGCATCATGGGTGAATCAGACAATCACTCCACCAAATTCAGCAATTGCAATTATGCTGTTGCCTGGTCAACCACTAAAACATCATTGTGTATAAGGAATATACCAAGACCAGTAAACTTGCATCCACCACCAGCAGTGTACTGTGGGAATGGTGTGGTGGAAGAAGGAAAAGAGTGTGACTGTGGTGTGTGTGTATGTATTCATTTGATGTTTGTTAATTCCAAACATTTTACTTTGCTTGCCTATATGGAGACAGGAACTTTACAAACCACATTTCTTCTTTGTCAGTTGTCTTTAGTATTTTGTGTTCATAGAGGAGCAAGGAGACTTGAAACTTGAGAATATTTAGTTGAAGTTCATGTCAGCATCTGTTCAGTAATAGCTTTTACCTTGGCAGCAGTAGGAGCTTTCAGTCTCTACATTATAATAAATCTGCCCCAGAGATACAGTATAACTACCAAACATCTTATTCTCATAATCCTGAACTCCATGTTTTTTAGCCATTCTACAACTTCAAACACAGAAAAAGATTCTGAAATAAGTTGAGTGTTGAAAGACAGTCTTTCCTCTGTAGCACTTGTTGATACTAGAGTGAGTTCAGGACGACTTTTGGCCTGGTTAGAGAAGAGAACCTTTATGGAAAGACAGAGGACCCCAATCTTTTTCATTACATACAGTCCTAGATTATAAATTAGTCATTTGGAGGCCTTCAATTCATTGTCCTTTTTCTCAAAGTCACATTTTCCAAATTAAGAGGCTTTATGGAAAGGTCTCAAGTTTCTGAAAGGCATATTCTCCTAAAATCATGTTATGTGTTGGACACAAGACATACAAAGTAAGTGCTTGTCCAATTATACACACAGTTTCTCCATTAGGAAACATACTTAATTTTGAATGTGGTTTCAGCAAGAGACTGCAGAGAAAGCCTGTGAGTCTTTGGATGGTAGAGATAATCATTCAAGCCTGAGAAAATAGCACCATGTACACTCCTAGCTGAAAGCCTACCAGGCTCATATCTGAACAATATGGGATCATTAAGGTAGAAATAGTCCAAGATTAACTAAAACTTTACCCAATTTGCACCTGGCTAGCCCTATGATTGATTTAAGTAATCAGCTCCCTAGTGTATTTTTCTAACAGAGAAAACAGGAAAAATCTCTACCATAACCATCTGGAGATAGATACCATGTTTGTTTTTATACATAAGTATTTGAGTAAAACAAGATTTTTCTAAGAGGTGAGCAAGATTGCGGAGTAGAAATATTTTTTACATGACTGAGAGAATGAAGAGTCTGGGCAACAAAAAAGAAAATTTTGTTTCTCTCTTATTCCAAGAAGAGACAGAGAAAATAAAAACTCTTTGAACAAATTAAGAAGTGACTGGAAATTTAGACAGCATGAAGAATTAGAAAAGCAAAGCAGAAAAAAGTCCGGTCTCAAAAGCACTGTGGATAGCAGAGCAGAACTAGAATCTGCAAACAAAACACAAGCTGAGAAGTAAAATCAAATCAACTAAGAACTGTAGATGAACAGTCTTAGAGGAAGAATCTTTTTCTTACTAACTTTCCATCTGGTTTTTCAATTTTGCCTGTAAGTGACTCTTTCTACATATCAACCTAGCTTTAGAAAAGAAATCCATTTTATCATCTTGACAAACTCTGGAGGCTATAACCAGGAGCAAGTTTGAGAAAGGACTATTGTTAGGGACCCAGTTACTCTGGGGGAACAGAATCACCAGAGGAATCAGATTTCAGCATCCTTGGGGATCCCCTACCACACTGACTGGATAGAAAAGATCAAGCTAGAGAGCTGTGATTGTGAAGATGAATACTAGTCCACCCAGACATTTGAACATCATGGATTATGGTCTGTGACAGAGCTCACAGGGTACAGAAGCTGGTCCTGTCTTCAATGACAAAAAGCAAGACCAGTTGTGTCTGGTATTGTGCAGGAGTTGGGTTTAAGCACAATGACATGGAAGGTGGCAAATAGCTGTGCTCTTCTGGCTCCCATGAACCTAGTAGTTTGACAGTTTATGACACACACTCTGAGACATCTTGGATATATTCCCTGGCTTGGACCTAATGATTATAAGAGGCTTTGTGGGAACATCTAAACACAAGCCATAACAAGAAGTGTCTCCAATTCCAACACCTCAACAAGGAGGAACTGCCTTGTTCTTCCCCATTTTCTTTTCCTCTATCTAGTCTATCTTTTGTTGTGTTGTATTTTGCTTCTCGTTATATTTTCCTGCTTTTATTTTTTAAAATTCTGTTTTAACATGATGTTCTCTTTTCTTCCATTGTCTAAATTTCCCCTTTTATATTAATTTTACTTTTAACCTTTTCTTTCTTCTATATTTTCACCCTTTTCTATTGCTATAAATCTTGCAGAGGGCTAGGGAGATAGTTCAGTGGCATAGACACTTGCCTGGCAAACACGAGATCCTGAGTTTGATTCCCAGTACCCACTAAAATAATCTTGTGGTGTTTTTTCAATGACTTATTATTATACCTTTGAATATGTGGGGGTTTTTAATGCTATGATTGTTGATATTGTTTGTTTTCTTTTTTCTGAGTGGAGGATGGGCTCAATCCTAGTCCCTCAAGTATGTTGGGTAGGTGCTTTGCTGCTGAGCTACCTTCCTAGCCCTATTGAGAGAAATCTCTCTTTACTCCAATCACAATCTAGTTCTAATCAAACCTTAGTGAGCCCAGTATATTAAAGTATAAGAGAAATAAGCCCCTGGCTGATGTCCTGGTCCCAAGTAAGTATAGCTAGGGGTAGGGTACTAAACATTCACTGAATGTTCACACCAATAGCAACAGAAGAGAAAAATTGCATAATTACTGTGGACATGACACATACAGTGGTACTGGAAAAGATATAGAAAGATATTGGAACAACCTATGATGTTTCAATATCTTATCAGATAGCGCTGTTAGGCAATACTGGAGAAATAATCACAAAGGTGCCCCCATATGCTTGGTTGTCTCTAACATACCAGCCTCGTCTACCAGAGGGACTTCATTCTTGCAAGACTGACAGAGAAAGACGACAAACTGTGTCAATACAAACAAAATATCTGACACCCAAAGTTACTTAGCTCATAGTTTTCAGAGGTTTCACAGCCCATAATCAACAGGCTCCAAGGCAGGGCGGCACATGGTAGAGGGACAACTGTTCATGATGGAGGAAGACAGCAAAAACAACAACAAGCAAAAGGGGAAGACAAATCTTTTACTGCCCATTTTATCTTACCCAGACTGCTGGGATTGGGACAGTGCAAATCTAATCAGCGGACTGGTGCTGCTATCACCCACCCTTTATCCCAGCACCCTAATCCTAGCATTGTACCATGAATCAATCACAAACTAGATTTAGCTACTTCCAAAAAAGTTCCATCTAAAGTTGTGTGAGGTTTTTTTAGAACATCTGTACACAAACCACAACAATTATATTCTTCATAGGGAGTTTGTACATGTACATAATGTATCCTAATTCTTCTTTGTTCCTACCCTTCTACCCTTCATGCATTTATGATTGACTTGCAACTTCTCACAATATAATTTCCCTAGGCTTATCTGCTCAAGAAGGTCAACAACACAACTGAGTGACTCATCAATGGACTATCTCAGGAGTAAGAAATAATACCAGAGTTTGAAATAAATATTGATAAATTGTCACATTTAAAACATAAATAAGAAATTATGAACAAAATGCACAAGACCCATGCATATGATTAACAAACCAAAACTATAAATAATTGTTTTACACTAAGAAATCAAGGTATAGTCTGTAGGCATACAACACTTCTTCAGTGAAATAACTGAAGTATATTTCACAACTCTTGGGAAATCCTGGAATAAAGGCATTTAGAATTTTTTTCTGAGCAACAAAGAAAGTAACTAACATAATAATTATTATGAACTCTAAACATATACTACTAATAATTTAAAAATTATAAAGACAAATTTATCATAACATCAGATTTCTCAACAGAAACTCTGAAGACCAGAAAAGGATGACATGATATATTTTAAGCCTTAAAAGAAAATAAATGCAAATCTAGATTAGTTTACTCATAAAAGTTATCCTTCAGAAGTTAAGGAGATATAGAAGCCTTCAAAAATAAATTAAAGCAACTCACAACCATTAAGGCACAATTTCAGAAGATACTTAAAAGAATGCTACACATGGAAAAAAAAGCAAAATAAACACAATCACAATAGCACAGGAAGGAATAAATCTTACTAGAAGAATAGGTAAGCTAATACGATTGTGAAAGAATGAAACATTTTTGATTCATCAAGTAAGCAAAAAGTAATCAATATAGATTATTTGAAGAATACAAAAGAAAACAAAATGATATGAATTAATGTATGTCTTTTAACAGTATCCCTGCATATAAACAATTAATTTTTCAATTAAAAATGTTCTCCAGATATTTGGATTAAAAAGCAATATCGAAAAATTTTCTTCCTACAAGAAATTCACTTTAGTAACAGAGACATACAGACTTAAAGTAAAAGGGTAGAAAATGATATTCCAAGGAAATGGAATTCAAAAGCAAGCAGGAGTAGCTAAACTTGTATCTCACAAAACAGTCTTTTTCCCCCCATAATTTTATTGATAAACAAATACCAATGAGACAGTTTCAAATCAAATTGGTAGGACAGTTTCAATAATCAACACATTGCATACATTCTTCCCAGTGGTTAATTGCTGTACAAGATGCAGACATGATATTCTATCTACAAACACCATCAGA